GCAGGAATGATTAATTAACCAACATTAAATCAGCAGCAGTTTGATGAAATATGCAGTCAGTTTTCATCATTTGCTACGTACATTTGGACTCGCCTTTCTCATTTGTCTGGTATTCTCCTTATGCCCTGAACATGGTTCCTTTGGACATTATCTCAGCGTGTCAGAGGAGTATCGTTATAACTCAGAATAGCGGTGCCTGTTAATTCTGATGGAGGAGGTGTCTGCCATTTGATAGATTTTGAAGAGTTTGGTTTGCCACTCGGTATTCTCCAACTCAAAACCCTTTTTCAGAGTTCTGAAAAGATCAGGCTCCTGCTTAAAATCATGATTAATATAGTTAAAAGGTAAGTCCATTGAGTGCTCTCCCATCCTTTCTTCCCCATTCAGATGAATCCTCTCGCATTTGCCAGGCTCCAGGGGTGGCTGGCAAGGTGCCAGAAATGCTGATCAGGTTGAACTGCTGTAATTATGGGTCATAATTAGTAATTTCTAAAGGAACTATCAATTATTAAAAATCAAATTTGATGGTTCAGTTCAGCATAAACATGTTTAGCAAAGATTGTCTCTACCAGACCCAGTGTTCTAATCAACAAGTAAAAAGGCAGATATTTAATTAGATTTTGATGAAAAATTGTGTTTAATTTCAAGTATAATCAATTATTAATTACTGTAATGAGTAACTCTGGTGGGGTTTACTAATTAACTCATTTAAAAATTATGAATAACCTTTTCATTTGTAATTATTTTCTACATCCTGTCAAGTTGCAGATGAGAATTGTATCACCTAACCCAAAAGAAAGAAAATGAGTCAGGGAGTCCAAATGTTTGTACTTTCACTAAGTTAACCTGAGACATTTTGCATTCTGATAAAAACTACACCATTCTTAAGAGGAACTAGTTCATTCTTTAAATTAACCTGGTCTATTTTCAAAATAAATTACCTTTTTTCTTCAATTTTTGGTTTTTTTTCCCCCCATGTTCATGTAGTTGCATTTTCTTACAGATACCTTTCCTCATTTAAGCAGTATCTTGCTCTTTTCAATGCCATGGGGACTATTTGAGTGGTCAGGTCTAACTTAATCAGGAGTAAGAAGGTCTAATCTATATAACAGCGCATGAGTGTTGGGAACTTGGCTACTTTCCACCTGCTCTTGTTAGTTAAAACAACCACAGAAATTATCTTTTTAATGACTATTTTCATCCTCCAAAGCAAACTGAGGTCATTGGAAAGACTCCCGTTTAAGTGAATGGACTTTGGATCAGGTCCCATGGCAGTGGCTTGGCATTTACTTTTATTTTTTTATATACTGATCAGTTAATGGAAGTACTTCAGAGTAACATCTAGGGCTTCAGGATGCTCTTCATGGCATCAGACACGTCACAGTCCTCCATTTATATATTAAAACCTACCCAGCGCAGGCCTTACCTACCTGTACAAGTGTGTGGTGCTGGAGACACCAGGACATCCACGAGAGACTCTGCTATTGTCAGTACTTTTTGTGTGACAGATGCTCAGACACAACTGTGATGGGTGACCATCAGAGACAGGCAGAGCTGCGTGGAAGCAACGAGGCATTGGGTCATTTCTGAAGTTCTTTGCTGAAGCCGGTTAATTTTTGAAATTCATCGGAAGCACTTGCCGAATCATTTGTTTAAGGGTAAAAGGCAGAGTTTCCTTTATTTTATGAAAGTCTTTATAGTATTTAATAGTCTGAGGTTCATTTATCTTGCTGAGCTTTTTCAAAGAAGAGGAGAGGAAGCATAAATAGAAGTCCATGGAAGCTGAATGGCTGGTATCATGTGTCAACACTGTGATCAAGCTGAAGGTTTTACAGGGCTGAGTCACTCGTCTGAAGAGATAATGACAAACAAAATACAAGAGGGTATACTAAGCACCAGAAGCTGGTTTTCATTTAAATTAACCAGCTTTTGACTGACTTGTTGCCACCTTTTCAAATATTCAGAGACACACGCTAAGGCTGTGGCGACAATGCACGTCAAAGTTTTGCACACACACAGCTTATGCAAATCCCGTGAGCTCCACAGAAGCTCCACAGAAGCTTGTCTCGTGGGGTGAGAACACCAAAGAGAAAAGCAGGGTTGGAGCAGGGCTGTAGCATTAAAATGGCAGGAACGGCATCGCTGGAACCACTGAAATGAAAGGCCTCTTTAAGCAGCTTGTAGCTGACCTGCAAATTTGCTGTTCCAGGAGGTTGTGAAGAGACACCATTTTAAAATGAAATTTCCCATTGGAGGATTGTCCATTCAACTGACAGGAAAAGGAAAGGAAGGACAAGGAAAACTTTCATGGCTTTTGCTGGGATGTGATGGGGTCTGTATGGCATGGAGGGCTGCCTTGGAGAGCTAATTTGTAGCGAGAATCTTATTGCAGAGATAATACCACGAGGTATGTTGCTATCCAGATTATTTGCCAGCAGAGTTTCTGTACCTGGCAGATGCCAGGCCTGCTAGCATAGCACTGTAAAGAATCTCTGACATTGCTGTACTGCTCGGGAGGAAGATTTCTGAGTTTAGAAACAGAAAAGACCTGTTTGATTGTCCAGATCTCCATGCCCAGCAGCTGTTTGGCTAGATCCACGGAACAGTTTCTAAATGAATTAGCGATGGAGAATAGTTTCTTTCTTCTGAAACAGAAGGTATTATCCTCTGCCTGATGTAGATTCCAGACTAGATGGAAGTACAATTTGATGTAGTTAGGCACTTGCAATTTTCCTATACTTAAGCATGTGCTGCGGTTGCATTGCATGAACAGCAAGAAAGATAGGCATTTGATTTAGATTAAAGTTCGGGCTGGAAAACATATTATGAAGCCAAAACAGTAATTCATTTGATTGGAGTCAGAGCTCTCTTACTTTTTAGTTCTGTGTTTGTTTGAACTCCGCACAGATGCAGCTTCACTTAAAGAACAGTGTTGGTTGCTACAGGCAAAACGCTTTGACAGTAAATCTGTGCTAGGACTATGATGTGTTTATAAAGTGACTTTCTTTTTATTGTCTAAAAAACACCCTGAAAGCTAACTTTAGCTCAGTTTGTCCGTGATTCTTTGATGCTGTGTAATAAATCCAATTTAAAGCAGCTCTCCAAAGCCCTTAGCTATCTAACTAGTTAGCTATAGATGTATAGTATACCAATTACTGTGGTGTTTACATGCCACTTGAGATCAATAGGAAAAGCTGCTAATGCTTAATTATTAAACTTGAGCTATATCTGTTAATCCTACATTTATACCTGGATATAAAGGGTTTTATTCAAGTTAAAATATAAACCAATTTATTACCCTGCCAACAAGTTTCTTTCATTTTCTACTTTAATATTTCTTTTCTGATCCCACATTAAGTTCTATTTTGCTACTCTTGCCATTTGTTCGTTTGATTTACAGGGATCTTTCAATGTTTTCTGTTTCCACCTTATCTTAGACAAAATGCAGAAATGGTAGCTCAACAATCTGTTCTAGCAACACCTTTACATTATGAAGTCAATCTGTCACCTAAAGAGGAGCTTCCAGGTCCTTGGTTCTTTCACATCTTCATAAAATTACTGCACACAGTTCATTCAGTTAACTTTGTGTCTCATTTACTTAATTTTACCCTTAATCTATAAAACTGTGAGATCCAATCTGAAAGGTGCTGTAGCATTATCAGTAATAGATTATTTATGTACTAAAATATACTATATACTATTGTGAAACATAACATTTCAGGATACTGATTAAGAGGGAACCACCATCACGACCCAGCACTACCATTTTTATCTTTTATAGTAGAACTTGAATACGTGGGGTTTTTTCTGTTAAAGCTGGCTTTTACTGTACCAAATGCATCCAA